TGGAAATGAGGCATTCCATCTTAGTCCTCACGTGTGGCAACGCATCTGCATTTTCATTTGTAATCGAGGCTAGATGTCGATGTCTATGGGCCGCAGCAACCACTTACCATCAGGTGGACTGTTTTTGCTCGTTTGTCACCGTATCCTATAAAAAAAGAGTATTTATAAGCAAGTGCTTATTTATACTCTAAATTATTTCCTATGAAAAAGATGTTTTTATAAAAAATATATCGAAGCACTCTCGTGCGTTGCTCTCAAGCGTTTCGTAGTGAAGTATTGGATTAGAGCAATTGCCAATTCTCTGGTGGTTGATAACGAGCCTGTTGATAATCACCAAGCTTGGTAGGTGGATTTCGGTTACGGTACAGTATTAGAATGCATAATATGTACAGCAGCATTATCAGTGCAAAGCTCTGGCCTCTGCGCTCACTAATCCATTTGCCTAGCGGATGAGTATTGATAAGTTCTTGAAAAGGCTGTATGTCTCATATTGACTCAAACAATGACAACAACGGGGAAATAAAATTAAAATTGAATCCTACGTCGCTCGTTAACTAAAGACAAACTATGCCCTTGCTTAACAACAAGTATCTCACAAACGCACTCACAATATCCTCGGTAATAACATAATACTTTCGGTAAATGCATGATCATTGTACTTAGCTTCATCTGCGTTTTCATTATACGGAGAGTCGTTATCAGTTCCTTTCGCGACCTTCTGCGGGAACAATGGCGATGTAATATGGCCACCTCGCCGCGCTGTGTTTTATTGTAGCCTCGCGTGCATTATTTTTAGCCGCAGGAAGGTTCGTCGCTCGTATTCCTATATCCTTGACGTTGCTTAATATACGGTGTTGTATGCTCACTACCGGTTTTTAATTAGCGATGACAAAAAAGATGCGGGTTGTTAGATAGATCTTTGTTGAGCGGTATATAGTTGAGAATGGTAATGATGAATTAATCGGGGTTTTGTGAATCATTTGGCAACTGCGATAATTATGAGCTTCTACTATTTTTTTCCTTTGTATATTAAAATCAGGTTATCCCAAAACGTCCAAATGTTTTAAATAAAAAACTTAGTGTAAATAAAAAAAATATATAAAAAAGGCGTGTTTCTTAGGGATCTATTTTAGGTTCTTTGCTTTTTATAATTCAAGTGTGGTTCCGATATAACAATCCGTCTTGAAAACTACAAATACCATCTTTATGCTGATTGTTGAGAACCTTTACGTGTATATTACTATAGAGTGTAGATCCTAAAAATGCAAATGCAGCGTTAACTAAGTTCAATGAGTTCATTAATTCATGTTTACAAAATAACTCCATGCTCCTTAATCCTACGAAATCGAAGCTTATATTTATAGGTACAGCCTACCAAAAAGCAGGAGCAGGGCATAACTTTAACTGATCCTAACATATGGTTGATGGGGAAACAATTAAAGGACTTTTTGAAGTACGAAATCTTCGTGTTCTCATTGACAATTATTTAAAGTTTGAGAATCATGTAGTTGATGTCGTTGTTTTTTTTCCGAATAAAAGTTTGATATGCAATTAGGCCGTTTGTCACTGTGGACTTATGCTTATGTGTTACCTCTGCGAAACTTTAGTTCTGTCATTTTAATAGCCATTATGTCATTTAGCATAAAAGTGTGTTGGTAATTGGAACGATACAGGCAGCTCTCCGTTCTAATGTTACTATTTTAATTTGTTATGTTTATATTTAGTTTATATGTTTTGTACGTTGTAGTTTATAGTGAGTTAGGGAATAGAGAGTGCACCTATTACCCATTATACGTGGTAGAGCCACGCTGCAGCTATATTATGGTTGTAGCATGAATGGGTCGGCTCGACCGGGGAAGGACTACGCCCTCACAGTATACCAGCGTCAAATAGCAGCTTATTACTGCTGTGTTTCGTATGGTGAGTGTAGAGATCCGGAGACCATTTTTTCCTGGAAACGAGGCATTCCGTCTTAGTCCTCAGGGGTAACAACGAAACGAGGCATGCCGTCTTAGTCCTCAGGGGTAACAACGAAACGAGGCATGCCGTCTTAGTCCTCAGGGGTAACAACGAAACGAGGCATGCCGTCTTAGTCCTCAGGGGTAACAACGAAACGAGGCATGCCGTCTTAGTCCTCAGGGGTAACAACGAAACGAGGCATGCCATCTAAGTCCTCAGAGGTAACAACGAAACGAGGCATGCCGTCTTAGTCCTCAGGGGTAACAACGAAACGAGGCATGCCGTCTTAGTCCTCAGGGGTAACAACGAAACGAGGCATGCCGTCTTAGTCCTCAGGGGTAACAACGAAACGAGGCATGCCGTCTTAGTCCTCAGGGGTAACAACGAAACGAGGCATGCCGTCTAAGTCCTCAGAGGTAACAACGAAACGAGGCATGCCGTCTTAGTCCTCAGGGGTAACAACGAAACGAGGCATGCCGTCTTAGTCCTCAGGGGTAACAAATTTTTTTTCTTATTCGAATGTAGATTAGACATCTACATTCGATTAAGAATTTTGATTCTTAATCTAATGTAGATATCTATGGGCCACAATATTTATTTACCATCAGGTGGACTGTGTGCTCGTTTGTCACCTGTTATTCTAAAAAAAAACTTGTTCATGCGCATTCACCTGGGCACTATAATCCTGTTCTGCGCCGATGGCTAGTCTCCGTTGAGGCAGGCCGCCGTGACCGAAATTCGGTCTGGAGGACATTAATATGTGCGAGCGTTAGGAAAAAATTAAGGATCATAAAAAAAACGAATGCGGTAATCACAGAGGCCAGTATATTATATGTTCTTTTAGTCTCTAGGAAGAAATAAACTCAACTTTTTTTCCGTATAAAGTATTTGGTTAGGTCTGTTTTTGCCTTATCATTATGAGGAGTCGCGAAAGAGCCGATTGTTTTAGCCAATGCTTGCTTGAATGCTACTGACCTACTTTTGGTCTGACCCCACGCCGCGCCGTCGCACTTTAAACGGCTCGATTTAGAATGTTGGTGTACTGTGATCAATCGTCACTTGTTATGCCTTAGAACTACTTTTAATTTTGAAATATGTACCCACTTTCTATTAGAGAATATTGAGGTGGACTGAAGAGGAGCAACGGACATTGTATAATACAATTACACTATGTTTATACTGGCAATATGAAACGGGCCTATATTGATATAATTATTGGATCCTTACATATGAAATTAGCGTTTTGTCGTACTAACCACTTTGATCTGAAATATCTCCTCTGTGGTTAAGAATTCCGAAGTCAAATTTATAAATTCATTTAGCTAGTACATTTGAGTTTTGAAAACATTTATTTTTTCCTCATTATTTTTTTCTTTGGCGTCGCTTATTACCGCACAATGGAAAACATGAAATATCGGTATATTTACGCGTATGAGTTCTACCGTGGCACCAGTGCTGCAGAAACTGCTCGAAGGATTAATGATGTGTACGGCGCTGGTGTCGCAAAAGAAAGCACGGTACGTATTTGGTTTCAACGTTTTCTTTCTGGAAATTTCGACCTTCAGAACCAACACCGTGGACGGCTGGACCAAAGTGGAAAATGAAGAATTAAAGAAGAATTAAAGGCTATTGTGGAAGCGGATCCATCACAAAGCACTTCAGAGACAGCTGCAGGCTTCAGGGTAAGTGATAAAACTGTATTAATTCACTTGAAGCAAATCGGAAAAGTAAAAAAAACTTGAACGATGGGTACCTCATGATTTGAGTGAATCGAACTTGCAAACACGCGTCGAGCGTCGACTGCTGTGTTACGTTGCTCAACTGACACAAAAATGAAGGGATTTTAAATCGAATCATTACTTGTGATGAAAAGTGGACACTGTACGATAATCTGGCTGGAGACCCAGCCAAATTCTGCCCTAAACGAAAATTGACTCAGAAAAAGTTACTTGTGAGTGTTTGGTGGACTAGCGCCGATGTCGTTCACTACAGCTTTCTAAAATCTGGCCAAACGATTACGGCAGATATCTATTGTCAGCAACAGCAAGCCATGAAGGAAGAACTAGCTGCTAAACAACCGAGATTGGTCAATCGCTCTAGGCCACTGTTGCTTCACGACAACGTAAGACCACACACTGCATAACAAACAACCACTAAGTTGATGAGCTACAATTGGAATGTCTGCGTCATCCACTGTACTCCCCAGACCTTGCTCCAACAGATTACCATATTTTCCATAATTTGGACGACTTCTTACATGGAAAAAAATTCAACTCTGATGCGGCAGTCCAAACTGCCTTCAAAGAGTTTATGATTCTCGCCCCCATGGTTTTTTTTAGTAAAGGGAGATGGCAAAGTGCATATGCATAGATAATAATAGTTCATACTTTGATTAATTAAATATATTTTACGAAATAAAAATTGACTTTATATTCCTCCTGTACAAAACGCCAATTTCATATGTACGGATCTATTAATAACTATATTTACTACTTTCGTACTGATGTGTATTTATTTATATAATACACAAAATAGGATAAAATATAGGCGATTTAATGCCTAAAGGCATTCTCTCGAAGTCAACCACGAAATAAAGCACGAAAAAATTAAAAATAAAAAGAGGATAGTGAAAATGTTAATAATAACTATATCAATTTAAACTAATACGTGACAATAAACCTATATCGATATCCAAATTGAGTTAATTTGAACTTGTAACGATATTTTTGGGTGGTAACGGACTTCGACGTCTAAAAACTAGCTGCAAGAGTTGGAATTCGTTTGAGAGAGGGCAAAAATACTCATTAGGCTAAAAATAATTATTATTATAGAATTAAAATTACCCGTACAACGGATGTTCTGTTTCAATAGAATTGGCCTTAAATTTTTCTTTATAAATTTCTGTGAAACGTATTTCTGACCCGAATAAAACAGGTGCTTGCAGTAAATATTGAGTATGTAACTAATATATTTTTTATTAATTCTAGGTCCACGAAGAGGACATTGTCGGGTTCGGAATATCAAGCAATGGAAAGTTCATTATGTCGTGCTCATCTAAAACGGACATGGTAATTTGGGATTTGAAAGGTCAACAGTTAGACAGACTCGATACATATTTAATGAGCACGCATTCGGCAAAAATATCATCGTGCGGTCGCTTCGTCGTCGCTACGGGATTCTCGCCAGACGTCAAAGTGATGGAGGTGTGCTTCACAAAGACTGGCGAGTTCAAACACGTCACAAAGGCGTTCGAGTTATCCGGCCACACGTCCGGAATATATGACGTGGCCTTCGACGTCGACACCTCGCACATCGCCACAATATCCAAGGACGGCACGTGGAAACTATATCACACAAAGAGTGAGTACGGAATCGTTAATGCGTATTTGCTGTATTATTACTGTAATCTTTTAACAAACGAACTGCGCCATTAGCTAACCACATTATTATTTTGCATGATCCACGTTGTACTTTACATATACGTGTTGTATCTTTTAGTTTTTGCGAACTCGTCATGTGGTTTAGGTACAATACGTGTTATGTATGCTTCAATGACTATGTTTCTTTTATTTAGAAGCCCTTAACCCGATTGAGTAGGAACGTTTCTGGCGTGCGCGTAACGTTCGCCTCAAAATTTTATACAACTCTTGCAAAACAAGAACCCCGCGCCCTTTGGTTACGAAATTATTAATTACAACTTTCACTATTTACCACATGTTACGCAGTGATAGAAAATATCGCGAAGAAACCTAAATATCAAAAAATTATTTAAAAAATATTGAGAGGATTCGTAAGTTTGTTAATTCAACTCGAACGCAGAGATCACATCTGAAAAAAGGCATGTGCTCAGAAGTAAGACTATATGTAAGCTTTCTTTCCTCACAAAAGGTATATTACTTTACTCATAAAATTACTTTACGCATAAAAGGATTAGTTGCCCCACAGTTTTTTTTTTTATTGACAACGAAGTTTTTTTTGTTTTAGTTGTTCTCTGTCGCCTCTTAGCGTGTTACCACACCAGTCGATCGATCTTCGATCGTTAGCATCCATCGATGGTGGCATGGATTAGTGAACGTCGATAATCGATGATAGAATAGATCAGTCGACGTTGATCGAGCTGCTTGCTTATTCTAGAACCTAACGCCGCTCCACCGAACGCTTTTTAAAATGACGTCTAAATGAAATCTAGGCTAGACTAGGCAAGGGTATCTCTGACCTTAAAAAATGGTCGCATTCAGAGTCATCTGCGTTTGCGTTTCTCTAATAATAATACGAGCAACAGCATACTAGTCAACAATAACGCTTCTTCTTCTGAATACATATTAAACGATACTGATGAGCTCACAACCATATCGATTAATTGTCTATCGATGTTGATCGACGATTGAACAATGTTTTATCGACCAGTATCCATCGATCAGCTAAAGTTACCGCACCAGTCGATCGACATTGATCGACGTCGATTAATGGCATCAATCGACGATCGGTCGATTGGTGTGGTGACGCCTTTACGACACCCACGACAGGATATTATGGTGTAGTGACATTCTTACATCTTGTAAACTTCTTTAAGGCCTCGTTTTTAAATATTTGCTTTATACATAAGGTTGTTATAAACACTAATTTTAATTATTTTTGTTTGCTAAGCGGTAAATTTTTAATGCGTTTCAAACTCGTAAATTGAAATGTTTACATTAACCAAATACTTAAAAACATGGTTTTTCGCGTAAGTATATTATTATGATTTAATGATAAATTCGTACAAATAGCCTATGCGTAATACAAAAAAGATTGGCCTTTATGCCGTCGCGTAAATTACTTTGTAATAATTATCGGAGCAACCTCGTACAAACTGTTGGAGGAAGACAGTCTCTCGTAGCATAGCAATTATCAAAACAAAGATTTTTGCAAGCCTTATTCTTAAAAAATTTACGTGATAGAGCCACTCTGCAGCTATTATGGTTGTAGCATGAATGGGTCGGCTCGACCGGGAAAGGCCCACGCTCTCACAGAATACCAGCGTAAAATAGCAGCTGAATGTTGTGTTCCGTATGGTGAATGTAGAGAACCGGGGACCCGTTTTACTGGAATCGAGGCACTCTATCTTAGTCCTCATGGCTGGCAACGCATCTGCATTTTAATTCTTAATCTAGGATACATGTAGGTGTCTATGGGCCACAGGTTCCACTTACCATCAGGTGGACTGTGTGGTTGTTTGTCACGCACATTCTATAAAAAACAAAAGAATCTATATGTTGACTATGGACAACTTGATACAGAAATAAAGTTGACATGCAAGACAATATCGTTTTTACTTAACTAAATATTAGCCTCACTTTATTCATTCTGATTTATGACATCATTTAGAGGTGAAATTAAAATTAATTAATTTCATACATTTTTGATTCATACAATTTCATTTCATACAATTTTGATAAAAAAATTTTCATTTCGTACAATTTTCATAAAATAAATGCGTTATCTTATTTTTAAGACCTTTAAATAGCAAAATAGGTTTATAAGTGACAATTTTTGAAACCGATTCAAAATCAACATGATGTTCCCCGAAAATGGTCTGCGTATTTTACGTTTGGTGTAAGCGAGATGGTTGCATCGCAAAAATATATACACGCGAAATATTAAATTAATTTAAAATTACGATTTTATAGTGCAGGTAATTTCCTACGACAATTCTTGACTCCACTTGTTGTGAAATGTGACTGCATATCCTTGCCATAGAATTCAAATATTCATAAACGGAATTACCGAGAACGGCCATAGTATTACAGAATTTATCTTTTCGTTAAAAACAGGAAAATGCGTAATCATATCGTAACGTATCACTGGGGTCTGTCCCGTGCATTTTATACGTCGAAAAGACGTTAGATTTGTTGAATATGCAGATTTCTTCAATTGCGTCACTCGACGCTCCTCGATGCGTGCGAAGGCTTGCAAAATTTTATTATTTGTATTTGTTAATATTGTAGCTCAAACTAAATTAGGTTGGTTTCATAATGGGCGGATTTAAGATAAAGTAACAGTGTTTATACGTCCTAATGCTGGACTCAGGCCACCAGCTGAACATCATGACAGCTTCGTAGGACAAGGAGTCCACCGCGCAGCCCCAATACGTGTTGGTAGGTATCATGTCATCGAATTGTTTATTTTTCTCGATGCTTTCCTTTGCCGCTGTGGTTATCACATCCTCGGCATTAAAAATTGCAGTTGACAATTACATGGGTAAAACTCTGTTTATCCACTCACAATTTGAAGGCCTGCGCTTATCTATTTAATATTCCTTTGCTATTATAATAATAGTTTTTGTTGTGATAGTAATTTTGTTATCAAAAGTGTGTCGTGTAAATATACGTATATGTTTTGTTTAATTGCAACTTGTGTACGCAACGCAACGTAGTGTTAAATGAAGACTTAGGGCTTCGGGCATATTGAAGAAATATAGGACATCGTTTGAATGCTCGTCTAATGCACCTGAGATTGAAGAGATGCCGCGCTTTGTTGAAGCGGTACGCGGGAAAAAATATCGGGAAGTTCTTTTTTCGGATGAAAAAATTTTTAACGTAGAAGAGAGCTACAGCAAACAAAATGATAAGGTGTACGCACACAGTATTGAAGAAGCGAGCAACCGTATTCCGCGTGTCCAACGAGGTCATTTTCCATCCTCGCTCATGGTATGGTTGGGAGTTTCTTATTGGAGCTTAACAGAGGTACATTTTTGTGAGAAAGGTGTAAAAACGAATGCAGTTGTGTATCAAAATACAGTCTTGACGAACCTTGTGTAACCTGTTTCTCATACCATGTTCAATAACAGACACTGGGTATTCCAACAAGATTCGGCGCAAGCTCATAGAGCGAAGAGCACATAAGACTGGCTGGCGGCGCGTGAAATCGACTTCATCCGGCACGAAGACTGGCCCTTCTCCAGTCCAGATTTGAATCCGTTAGATTACAAGATATGGAAACACTTGGAGGAAAAGGCGTGCTCAAAGCCTCATCCCAATTTGGAGTCACTCAAGACATCCTTGATTAAGGCAGCCGCCGATATTGACATGGACCTCGTTCTTGCTGCGATAGATAGACGACTGACCGCGCAGATTGAAGGCCTGTATTCAAAATCACGGAGGTCATTTTGAATAAACTATAGTGTCATAAGAATCTATGTTTTGTTAAGTTCATTTTGGTATATAAATGGTTACATAATGAATAAACTTGTTTCAATTATTTTATATTAAACATGTGACAGAATTTATGACCTGACTAGGTATATACATTAGCTTTAAACTATCACATGGAGCGTTGACCGTGCCCCTAGCCCTAGGCCTAGGACGTATTCCAGTGCAACATTAGGATCTCCCATTTTTCTTCCACCGCCAAAGACCTATTTTATAATATTAGAGGGAAAAATGAGTTAAATATTCCTCCTGATGGTAAATGAGAGCTATGACCGTAAACACCTGCGTCTATTAATGAATAAGTCAATTCATTTATTCTTTACATATTACATTGTATAGACATTTGAAAGCGATTATATATAGACAACCATTACGCATAGGACTGACATCAGTTAAGAACGAAGTAAAAGAGGATGCTGTACTAAATAATAATCTTGAATATAATTGAACATAGGCAGTGGCGTAGCTACCTTAGGGCTTGGCGGGGCACTGCCCCGGGGCCCCCAAAGCTCAAGGGGCCCGTGAACGACATTTGAAAAAAATATACATATATAACGTAAATGAATAAAAAAAATCGATGATTTACTTTATGCCCCCTGTGAAATAAACCTCGAACGGCCCGAAATGAAACTACCAAAATTTCTTCAACCTACAGAATATTAAACATCATTGTTAAACAAAATCGTCTACTTAATTTTATTGTCTAAATAGCTGTATTGTTAACTGTAATCTACTTCGTCATTGTTTATTTTGCTAGCTTCCGCCCGCAACTTCGTTTACCTGGTACTGGTATGGACCAACATTAAAAATTCCTTTCTTTATTAAAAGGATACTTTTATCGGGATGAAACGGTGACGATGAGGTGAAGCGGTGTGCTGAATTTCCTAAAATCCATAAAGCATATTTACGTGAAACCGTTAACAAACAAGCAAGCTTTCGCGTTTATAAAATTACTAGCAACCTGCCCCGGCTCCACATGGGTTCACTTTACATGTGGTGTCATTTATATTTAAAAAAAGCACTGTTCATAATATTTCAAAGATAAATATGATTACGGTGAGTCAAATTTAGGAGATAAATAGATTATTATGCCAGCGCGGACTGTTGGCCTACACTTTTTGAAGAACTATGATTTCTTAGTACTTACATTATTTTAATGTATCTCTTTAAAGTTAGTTAGCCAGCCAGCACTTTTGACGACAAATAAATACAAAATAATGAACTCTTTTTACTATTCAAAGTTA